ACACCTGCCATAGAATAGACTATTCTTATTTTTACTAATGGAAAAGATTATTTGGCCTTTCAGTATTTCATGTTATATATTTTCCTCATTCAGCCTACCTGTTAAGACTGTTTTTTGGGGGCTGCCTGGCCACCTGTCACTCTCGGCTCTGCTCCGCTTCTTTAATTAGACTAAACAGATGCATTTGACTATCTCTTAATCACCCCCCATTCCTCCTGGCTGTTATTATGTCTATCAATACACTCTCTCTGTCAGTTTTCTCCAGATTGTCTACTCCTTGACTGCATATGCAGTACCTGTCTTCTTGCGTTTCTGTGTCTCGCCCAAATTACACTCAGCTTCTGACCTTGGTTATCCAGTCTGCTCAAATCTTCATCTGATAGCTTGAAGCCTGCCTCCAGTCTCTTAAATTGTCACCTGCCTCTGTCATAATCCTGGTGCTGATGGTTGTTTTTCTTTCCTCTGCTCCTGCTCAACTGCCTAATTGGCCCTGCGGCTGATTGCTGCTGATCTGATTCACCTGGTCCCTGCAGCTATTTATGCTGTTTGCTCTCCGGCCATCAGCGTGGGATTATTCAACCTGTCTTGGTGTGAGTAACTCTAGTGATCTAAGTAAGTGTTCTGTGCTGTAAAATTCTTCTCAGTTTTTTGCCCATGTATTTTTGGTTTTTGCATTTTTTCCTGTCTGTTTTGCTCAGTTAGATTTTTGGTCTGACTGCCTGGATTTTGCCGGTTGTCGAACTTGGACTGTTTTACTGACTTTTGCTTGGATTCTCCCAGGATACCTCTTCGGCTTTCGGATCACCTGGTTTCTGACTTTTGTCTGGACTGGTTTTCAGCTTTGGATTATCCCTCATGGACACTGTTGTTTGCTTTGCGTCAGCTGGCGTCAGCTCCACCGCACTATGTGCTCCGAAGCGGTAACGACCGCAAGCGGCGGACAATCTCCCTCCCTCCCTTTGTAATCTTATCCGCTCATCATTCTTGTCACTGATCTGAGTTTCCTGTCTCAGCAGAGAATAAGAGAACCCACTTCGAGGAGTTTCCGTCGTCCTCTTTTTTTTATTTTTAAATAAACTGGTTTTGAAACTTTCAGTTTGTATGCTGAATATTGGTTCCAAGCTTCAGTGCGCCTTACAGCCTCCTCCACCTTCTTACCAGTGTGCCTGTCTAAATTCTCGATCATCGTCAAAAACTCATAATAAACATTTTAGCACAAGTTCTACCCTGTTTAGCAAATTATTGGGTTCACAGAAAAGACTGATAACAATTTAAGGCAAACAAAAGAGAATTGTTTGTTTTTAGAACAGAGTTTTAAACTGTCTACATATTTTAAACTAAAAAATCAATACTTGTAAAAAACTGACATTCACTCAATAATTGCATATTTATTTCAATTTAACTTTATTTAATTTAGATAGTGCCAATTCAAAACACGTTATCTCAAGGCATTTTACAGTTCACAGCATCAAACAGTCAAATTAATTAAAAGTTTAAGACAAACCAGTTGATTGCATCGACTCATTGACTTGAAGGCAATCCCTCACATTCAGCATGCTTGTAGCGACAGCGGAGAGGAAAAGCTCCCTTTTAGCAAGAAGAAATCTCCAGCAGAACCAAGTTCAGTGTGGGCGGACATCTGCCGAGGCCGACTGAGGTTCAAGGAGACAGAAGAAGACATACAGAAAGAAGCAGATACAAAAGGCAACTGTAAAAGGCGGCATTGCCCAGGAAACACACAGCCAGGCAGACGAGCCTGTCAGAGTCCCATGTCAGAGGATGAAGAGAGCAAATAGAGCCAGTCACAGTCAGAGAAACAGGATTACACTGAAAAACAGGCCAATCTTGAACGTCTATAAGCAAAGGTGTTGATGGGAGCAGCACAGCTGATATTTCTCTCCAGGATGGTGTCACAGCCAAACAGGAACAGACAGGATCAAGCTACAATGAGAAAAAGCAGAAAGAGCCAAAAGTTAGAGATTGAACTAACAGATTCTGCAGAGTGGGAGAAGAGAGACAGAATGAAGCAGAATTATTAAAAAGGGGTCCCTTTATATGTGAGAAGGAGGATTTTAACAAAAACCCAATGAAGAGAACCTAGGATAGGAGAGATATGATCTTTCTCTTTAATTTTCATCAGAACTGTGGCTGGAGCATTTTGGATCAGCTGAAGGATTTTAACAACAGTTTGTGGACTTCCTGATAGTAAAGAATTACAATAGTCCAAGTAACAAATGACTAGTTTCTTAGCATCATCCCTGGACAGGATATTTCTAACTTTTGCAATACTGAACAGATGAAGAAAGATGAAATTCTAGAAACCTCTTTGACGTGGGATTTAAATGACGGGTCATGATCAAAAATAACACTGAGCCTTTTTGCTGTATTATCTGAAATCACTTTAATCCCATCCGAAATAAGTGACTAAATAATCAGCTTCTTTTTCATACACTCTGGTCCAAAGACTATAACTTCTGTTTTGTCTGCATTTAGAAGCAGAAAGTTAAGAGTCATCCAGCTTTTTATGTCATCAAGACATGCCTGTAATCTATGTAAGGGATTAGCTTCATCTGGATTTATAGACAGATATAGCTGAGTATCATCAGCATAACAGTGGAAATTAATCCCATGTTGTCTAATAATTCTACCGATTGGGAGTACGGTACATATATATAGTAAAGAGAATTGCCTTTAGACATTTGCTAAAGGCAATAGTATTTTTTTAATGAATATAGTTGGATATTAAGGTAGTTATATTCTAACACTGTTTTAACTTAATCCAATCATTGTTTCCCATTAAATATACATGCATCGGTATAATATATTGTTTGCACTGAGATTGGATACATGATACATGGCCTATATATATATATATATATATATATATATATATATATATATATATATATATATATATATATATATATATACACAGTGGGGCAAAAAAGTATTTAGTCAGCCACCAATAGTGCAAGTTCTCCCACTTAAAAAGATGAGAGAGGCCGGTAATTTCCATCATAGATTTACCTCAACTATGAGAGACAAAATGAGAAAAAAAAAATCCAAAAATTCACATTGTCTGATTTTTAAAGAATTTATTTGCAAAATATGGTGGAAAATAAGTTTTTGGTCAATAACAAAAGTTCATCTCAATACTTTGTTATATACCCTTTGTTGGCAATGACAGAGATCAAACGTTTTCTGTAAGTCTTCACAAGGTTTTCACACACTGTTGCTGGTATTTTGGCCAATTCCTCCATGCAGATCTCCTCTAGAGCAGTGATGTTCTGGGGCTGTCGCTGGGCAACACGGACTTTCAACTCCCTCCAAAGATTTTCTATGGGGTTGAGATCTGGAGACTGGCTAGGCCACTCCAGGACCTTGAAATGCTTCTTACGAAGCCACTCCTTCGTTACGCGGGCAGTGTGTTTGGGATCATTGTCATGCTGAAAGACCCAGCCACGTTTCATCTTCAATGCCCTTGCTGATGGAAGGAGGTTTTCACTCAAAATTTGACGATACATGGCCCCATTCATTCTTTCCTTCACACGGATCAGTCGTCCTGGTCCCTTAGCAGAAAAAACAGCCCCAAAGCATGATGTTTCCACCCCCATGCTTCACTGTAGGTATGGTGTTCTTTGGATGCAACTCAGCATTCTCTCTCCTCCAAACATGACGAGTAGAGTTTTTACCAAAAAGTTCTATTTTGGTTTCATCTGACCATATGATATTCTCCCAGTCACCGTCTGGATCATCCAAATGCTCTCTAGCAAACTTGAGACGGGCCTTGACATGTACTGGCTTAAGAAGGGGGCACGTCTGGCACTGCAGGATTTGAGTCCCTGGCGGCGTAGTGTGTTACTGATGGTAGCCTTTGTTACTTTGGTCCCAGCTCTCTGCAGGTCATTCACTAGGTCCCCCCGTGTGGTTCTGGGATTTTTACTCAACGTTCTTGTGATCATTTTGACCCCACGGGGTGAGATCTTGCGTGGAGCCCCAGATCGAGGAAGATTATCAGTGGTCTTGTATGTTTTCCATTTTCTAATAATTGATCCCACAGTTGATTTCTTCACACCAAGCTGTTTACCTATTGCAGATTCAGACTTCCCAGCCTGGTGCAGGTCTATAATTTTGTTTCAGGTGTCCTTTGACAGCTCTCTAGTTTTGGCCATGGTGGAGTTTAGAGTGTGACTGTTTGAGGTTGTGGACAGGTGTCTTTTATACTGATAACGGGTTCAAACAGATGCCATTAAAGGAATAGTACACACAAAACATGATTAGCCTTCATTATCTACTCACCCCCAAGCTGAACAACACTCTGGAGTACTTTTTTGATATCTCAAATGCATCTGGAGATCTGGGAGGCTTCTTGCTGTCTGCTGACAATCAAATAATGGAGGTGCCCAGCGCCCGAGGCAGAAAGGTCCATAAAAGTCCACAAAAAACGTTTCAATATTCGTCCATACTGCTCGTCCAATGTATTCCAAGTGTCCTGAGTGGGTAGCATCCAGAATTTACTCGAAACGAAGTCATTTAGAATGTTTTTAGAGCATAAACAGTAGTGTATAGGATTTCCTGAAAGCGCGCACCTGCGCGATCACGACGCTACGGATGCCGGCAGACCAAACCAGCGCATTCAGCTCGGCAAAGAACTCATGCTCTTCCTCAACACTGAAGTCCTCAGACATTTTTCTTTCATTGTTTCTTTCTTTGCACAGGTAAACAGCACATTTCTTCTTCTACGCTTGCATTATTGGTAGAGCAGACGCTGAATGCGCACTTTCATCTGGTTTGGTCTGCCGGCTTCCGTAGCGTCGTGAACGCGCAGGTGCGCGCTTTCAGGAAATCCTATACACTACTGTTAATCGGTTACCAGATGAGATGCAGGGGCGGATCTATAGGGGTGGCTACGGGAGCAATTGACTCCCCCGAAATCTGATTGGCTACCCCAACTGCCACCCCAGCTGATTGACGGCACTGCTAAAACAGTTGCACGTCTGAAGTCTTTGACTGCGATGTTCTTCCTGTACAGTAGATGGCGCAATGCAGCATGCGCTATGCAGCCCCTTTCCAGTCGTGAATCTAGGGTGAAAGAAGAAGAACTAAAGCGGCTGTGGAGCCACCGAGTGCAACAAGCATAACATTAGTTAACAAACAACATTCTTTGCGAAAAGTCTGCGCGCTCTCAAGATGGATTTTATTCTCGTTTGGACCGACTGACTTATATCGGTGAGTAGATTGCACAACCACAGATTATATTCATAAAAGAAGCTCAATAACTAAGAGTTTGATAAGTTCAGTCAATGAGGATCATCCTCTGTTCAATTGATGTCCGTTTCATAAATCAGAATGATAAGGAGAAGCCCTTGCTTTTCACGAAGGGCGGCTAGAAGCTAGCCTGGCTGTAAACAGACAGGTGCAGGTGGGTGATATTGATGGGTTTCAGTGTCAATTTCTGTGATTTCATGCCCACGTCTGCTAAAAATACTGCTGACGAGAACGGAAACTATTTCATTTTTTAATGTCCGTGTCTAGAACCTTCTGAATTATGAAACCAGCAATATCTTTGATCAGAACCATTTGCCGATGTCATGAAAGGCATTACTAGTCGTAGATAATTCACGACCGATGTAGTTAGCCAGTAAAGTTATGGCAGGCTGAAACCTTAATTGAATGGATAGATTGCAGTCACTAGACATGTCTTATTGTTGTGTTCTGATATTTCTAGGCTGTAAAAATGTAGTCTGTATTCATTAATTTCCACGAAATGTTGCATTTTGCTTTGATAAGTAATAAAACGTTTTTTTTCCCGGTTGAGAATGAAAAGACAGGGAGGCACAATTTATAACTACTTTAAGAGAAACAGATCAGGCTTAGAACAGATCAGCAGCCCCGGCAGCCCTCATCCTGGGACTAGTCAGGAAAGTCCGGCAGAATCCAGCCTGTCATCATCGCCAGGGTTGAACATACAGAAGCAGTCACATGTTCAGTTATTTTAAATTATATTTAACATTATTTCAGTTCAGTTCAGTCATTTTAAGTTATGTTAAACATTATTATGAATGTTGGTTATTGTTGTATGTTCAGTTTTAGACAATGATTGTTTATTTTGATCACACTATTAAATAAATATTTTTCTACTATGTAGGTGTGAGAGTGGACCGAGACGATGACAGGTCCCAACCTGGAACCATTACCGAGGAGTGTCAGGCACAACACAGCCCACCATCATCAGGTCAGAGCAAGTCAGAAATGCCAAGTTCAGTCAGTACATTAACATTATTTATTTATATTATTTTCATTGTTATTATTGTTTCACAATATAGTTCCTTCTGAGGAAGGCTCTGAGTCTTCTGAGCAGGACGACGACCCAGACCCAGAGCAACCAGAGCCTGAAGATGTGCTTCCCTGATTGTAGTAGGGAAAACAGTTTGTATGCTGGGTGAGTGGGATCTTTGATCTGTGTTTCTGTTATCAGAGAGTTGAAGAATGCACCATATTCATTTTGTGCATAAATAAACTACAAATTGTACTCAAAATTGCACCTTTTGTCTGCTTAGTATGTGGCTACTTAAATATGATTGCAAATTACTGCTTACAAGGTTTATATAAGAAAGGTCAATAAGCCTTAATTAACTTGTAAATTATGCACCAAAGATAACCACAGACTAGTTGGCTTTCATCTGTAGCCCCTGGAAGTTTGATGTTGAAAGTAGTGTGAGTGTGTGTGTGTGTGTGTGTGTGTGTGTGTGTGTGTGTGTGTGTGTGTGTGTGTGTACATATAGAGTATAACACAAGAATGATAAGTCATTACTCATGACATGTCAAAGAAGAACATAAGACAGGACCAACATCTGTAAGTCCATGTAGAAATAAATGATAGTGAATAATAATTTAAACGTGACATGAACAGGTATACAGCACTCGATTGCTTACAGACGGTTGGTGTTTTCTGCTGCGACATTAACGCTAGTGCATAAACTTTGTTATTTTTAAGTATAAACCATTGCCCCCCTAAAATACACTCGGCCACCCCCTTGCTACCCCAAGGATAAAAGTCTAGATCCGCCACTGATGAGATGTAATGTAATTTATGAGTCTGAGAACACCTTGATGATTACAACTTAAGAGAACTGGAATTTAAGAAAATTTTGTTTGTCTAAGTCTGGCTCATGCACCACCTCAGATGATATATGGACTCCATACACTCAGTCTGCAGTTGTTGATTCGTCAAATGTTTTATTTCTATCTCAAATGTTAAAACGTAGGAGTTAGTTTTACCAGAAGTAATGCTGAAATCTTGTGTCATCTCCTGTTCATCTTTCACCAACCTGATAACATACATACATCAGACATATTCAAAATAATAAATCAAGTGCTAGGAATTTAAATGTGAAGAACATAATTTTACAGTGAACTGAGGTTATCTAACTGCAGTTTGAGATCTAGAAAACCTTTTTACTTTTCTTGACACCTTCAAAGGAATTGTTGATATTGCATACTGCCATTAAAACAGCCTTAGATTGAGATAAAGATTAGATATATTTTATTAACACACTAATTTACTGAAATGCAGATTTTATAGGGGAAAGTAAAAATAAGGTGTGACTTCTCCAAAAATTAGGGTGGGGGGACATCTTCTCATGAACAGGTGTGTTGAATTTGATTTCATCCCCAAATTATGTGAGATGATTATTATATATATATATATATATATATATATATATATATATATATATATATATATATATATATATATATATATATATATATATAAATATAAATATATATATTGCAAAGTATCTCTATTAGCCTGCCCTTTCAGTCGTTGGTAAGCATTTATTTGAAATGACTAAGATTATTCCCCAAAAAAGGTACGAAATCCTCTTCGGATTCACATTTAATGCCTTTGTTCCTTTCAAGCTCTAGCTGTACTATTGCATGTAAATATAATAATGCAAATGAGCCCTTGTTTCCAGTGAAAGCAATTTTGTCACTGGTAAGAGCATAAAGAACTGCATCAGCAGAGTGTAAGGGCAAAGTGAATACAATCAAGCATGTAATTCTTGGGTCATAATGGCACTGACAAAGCGTAGCTTCAGTAAAGACAGACTGCTACTCTGAGATACTGACAGAAGTGTTATGTAATGACATTCAGTCTTTAATATTCTCTTTATTTGTTTTATGAAAGTGAAGCGAGGCAGTTGCTTATCGTACAAATCAGCCTTGCGATGGTATTTTAGAAGCTTTTCCTTTACAGTGTTTTAGAAGGAATCTCCATCTTTGGGATTCAAATTATTGTACATCATTCTCTGAGAAGCCATCATACAGGAATGTTATATTAGATCCAAAGTCCTTACAAGTTTTGAGAGCAGAGATGACATTGTAATGCAGTTCTATAGGGGGGCTATGATTGAATCACAACTGTAGTCCAGTTTGCAACGATGATATTGTTACAGGGCAGTGTTGGCTGGTTACACTGGTGGAGAGAGTCAGAGATGTAATTGAGGTATAATGGAGTTCTTCACAGGTCAGTGCAGAACTATTGACCTCTCGGTGGGTTCTCTCTGTCTTACTCTCATCTCCCACAGCATTCACTACTCATCAACAGTCCATCAGCCCCAGGTTTCCAGGAATAGGTGGAGAAATGTGGATACTGCCTCTTTCTAGCCATTTGTCCAGTTTACACCTGTTTCACATCTCTATCATTTAACATTTAGTGCAAATCCCCTTCTTAGGTATGCATTCATGCATTGGTGAAAAAATGGCAAATAGCTGTCTAATAAGATCAGATGGCAGCGCACAAAATAACTAGGTAGCGTTCTGGCACATTAGTCTCTGTAACAGTTTTCTCTTTATCAGCAGTTTCCCCAGCTTATCATGGTCCATTTATTATTCTCTCTTTCATTAGCATTTACATTTTAGGTAGAGAAGAAACCACTAAATTAGTTTTTCCAAACAGCTAACAGAGATTGAATTTGTTTTATTTTCTGTAACTGTGCAAAACAGCAGCTTTGTATCAACAGCAAATAAATGCTGTTTAACACAGTCTTGTGTATACTTTATATAATAATTCCAGCTGACTTGGGGGGGAATGCCTGTGTTGTTGTTCACACAGCTTTCTTAGAATCCCTTCTATACTGGAGGGTTATAATCAAAGCAAACTCTCAATTGCAATGTAGGCTGAGTTTATGTAATGAACATGTACAGAAGCTGTTATATGCAGCAGCATCTGCTTATCAATGACTCTCATTTGGGTATCTGTGTATCCTTTAGAAGTTAAGACTGGGTTCTAAACAGCGGTGTATTAAATATGGTCCTAGTGTTCATTTGTGCTTTTGCAGTAGGACTCCAGAAGTGGAGAGATTGTGTTTTTGTTCGAAAGTGTGGCTCTTTTTATTGAAGAATGCAGGTGATGTTTTATCTTTTTACTTTTTTCTAAAGCAGCATTCTTGTTGCTTTTGTAAATAAAACATTACAACTCACTGGTTTTTCTGAATGTGGGACAGAAAACTACAAACCAACATGACAGAATCATCCAGCCCATCTAACCTCGCAGAATTTGCTTAGGTGTCTTACACTGAAGGTGAAATACTTCATCATCCCGATTAATTAATCCACTCTTTGGCTGCACTGCAAAATAGGCTCAGATCAGCAGTTTACGGAAATGTTCCAGGAGCTGCTTAACAGAACCGTTTACCCCCTCTACAGCCCATACAACCGCTGTTCCAAAACTAACACATTCCGTAACTTCCTTTTTTCATTTTACCAATTACCCCACACCCGAACCTTATGTGGGTGTAATTGGAATATGCAGATGATTTCTGTTACAATCTTTATTAGTTTTCAGGCAATCTCCCAGGTCTTCTGTTTGATAATGATAAAGTCTCATTTTTAATCTGATTATTGAGAGGTCAAGCCCTACAGTGGGCTTAAGCAAGATTTGGGTGTGCATTTCAATTCCAAATTTCCCTTGGCCAGTTTATGTCAGAGTTCAAACAGACATTCAGACATACTGAGTCAGTTTCTGACATTTCCCGTAAGATGTGGAATTCAAAACAGGGTAACAAGCCAGTATCAGACTTTGCCATAGAATTTGGACTTCAGCAGCCTCATCAGCCTGGAACACTGAATCATCTATAAAGGGAGCTTTTCTTAAAGTCTTGGATGAAAGAAATAAGAATAAACTAGCGGGCAGAGAGGATTCTGGAGCTCTTGACAAACTACTCTCCTGGCTATTCGTAATGACAACAGATTTCGAGGGAGAACTTGAGCAAGACAATGGAATATTTTACCTCTTCCCAAATCACATCTTCCAGTCCAGATCTAGAGGAACTGACGCAGATTGGTCATTCCCGGTTGTCACCTGAGAAACAACAGATTTGTTCCTCCTTCCTCCTGCACAAAGGTGCAAAAAGGAAAGGGCCGCTAGTAAGGAAAAACAGATGGGCAGTTTAAAGAACAGATCCTTCTGCAAAAGGAATTAAAATTTGACATCACCATGCAATTAAAGTACCTCTAAGGTTTAGCCACCTCCACATTCATTGTTTTAATGGTAGAAGGGAAAACTGTTGTTCTCCACATGCTAATAAAAAAGGGGTGATACGTACAAAATATCTATTTGCAGAGATGGCAAAAGTACTCACTTTCCATACTTGAGTAAAAGTACAGATACTTGTGTTAAAAAATACTCTGGTAAAAGTGGAAGTACTGATTAAACTTCTTTACTCAAGTAAAAGTAACAAAGTACAGGCTTGTAAATTTACTTAAAGTATAAAGTAAAAGTAGAAACCACTTTTTTCATGCCGTTGCCTACATTTTAAATGGATGTCTGCCAATAGGACTAGATCTCCGTTGTGTTCATTTTCAATCATCTCGTCGTCCATACTACTATGCTAACGTCACCGCCATCGAGCTGCAATGATTTGCCGCGAATGAATACCGCCGAATCTGTCGATTCATCTTGTAGTGGTGCGTCAAATGCAACTTAGATTCCCATCCAATTAGATTGAATTTGGTATTGATGACGTGAAAAATAATAACGGTAACTCCATTGAAATGATTCAAAACTAAAGTAACGAGCCAATTTTTTAAAATGTTAGGAGTAGAAAGTACAGATATTTGTGTAAAAAGTAAAAAGTCGCCATAAAAATAAGTAGTAAAGTAAAGTAAAAATATAAGAAAAATCTACTTGAGTACAGTAACGAAGTATTTGTACTTCTTTACTTCCCATCTCTGTCTATTTGTAATGAAGATTTATTGACCCTACAACTCACCTTTAGCTACAATGCTTTATGATAAAGTTTAGACTCCTTTACCATTTTCTTTACTGTGCCCAGTGGAATGTTTGATCTTTGGATCTTGATTCAGCCAAAGACTGAAGGAGATGTGCTGTATGGAATGTACCATTGAGAAGGAAATCATTAGGAGAAATATAGACTAAGTTTAACGATAAATCTTATTGGAAAAGAAGGAGCTCCTGAAATATTTTATACTGTAGGACTTAATAATAACAATAATATATTTTAAAATATGTTCCACC